TTAAAACATACGCAAACTCAAACAAACATGCAGGAGCTCTAAGGCAGCAATAGAGCTTGACATTCATGCATGCCCTGACTAGTAAGAGACACAGAAGAACAAGAATAGAAAGAGAAAATAGGAGAGAGAGAATGCAAAAGGAAAGCACCAAAGGGGGACTTTGTGTTGTAAGTTCAGGCTTTCGAAATCATGTCAAAACTAGCTTGCAAATTGTTTACAACCTCAAACTGTCTGACCAATGAGAACATGTCTTTAATGATCATTTCGCAAATCCCCATCCACTGAAAACCCCACTGCCAGTGTGTACTTTTAACCACAATACTCATATCTATATTTAATGGAAGAGAGCCCATTTTTAAAACGCGTGACACCAAGAGGGAACCAGATCCCGTCGATGAGCATCTTTTCTAATTTGCGGAACCCAAGACGCTTTACCGTGACATCACCCCTTTGTCAAACGCAGATCAGCGTGCAGTCACCGGACTCATTACTGTATTTCAGGAACACGCGAACATTTAATGAGCACACTCGATACAGGGACCTCAACACAATGCTCAAATGTAAAGGTATTAAAAAGAGAACCCCAATATCCATTGAGAACTCCGCATCGTTATTCATCCAAAAAGAAAATTATAACCTACAGAGGCTTTCAAAAATGTTTAGCAATTTTATAAACAAATGGCACTTGGTTTGATATTTTCTTATCTAATGCATTGACATTTATGTATTTTTAAGTATCCAAATACATTCAGGAGCCTTTATTTATTTTCCATACAGGGGTTTTAAAGCAATTAAACCATGCTGAATGATTCTTTTTTGCGAGTTAGAAGGCATACAGAAAAAAACTCTAGCTCTCTTGATTTAATTCTTGCTCTGCACCTCCATCAGATTCGTGTAGAGGAATCTCACATAAATAGCTGCTTTGTCTTGGCACAGCCTAAAATGAGAAAGCCTGCTGATCCCACGATGAGGTGAGCATCAAACCAAGAGAAATGCAAAAATATCTAATCTTTCATCACTTGTTTTTATCAAGGTAGGCAGAAAAGGGCAGTATGGGTGCATTGAGCAATATTTTTTTTCCCTGTAGAACTGATGCAATATCAACCAAGCCATTATCTGAACCGATGCAAGAAAGGATTTTCTGATCAAACAATTAGAAGAGAACGAAAGAAACTTTTTTTTTTAGTTAAGTTCTTACTGTTGACACAGTCTGCAAAGTCTTTAAAAAAAAAAATCAGCACCTGAAGGATCTGTCACGACAGGTATAGACACTGCAAGATTGCTCAATAGTATTGTTGTAGGCCATTATGTAAAGAATCTGTTGAAAACAAACTAAAATTATTCTTATAACTGTGGACTATTAGCTGAGGTTGTACATAATTAAACATGTCATATTTACATCTTTCATAACCCTTGCACTACAAACAGAAATAAAAAGGAGCGACCACATATTTGCATATATATTGACCTAATCAGCAATGACATTCTTGCAGGCAATAACCGGCAGGAAGTTATTGCCGTATTTGGATTCTGGTCAGTAAATTGGGCTACAGGGTGAACTATGAGGGATGCTAATTAGGTCTCTTCTCTCTTTGTCAGTCTCTGTCTCACATGCACGCACACAAACACAGGAGTAGAGTTTCCAGCACACCTGCGCACCTTGTCAACGGGTATCCACTTTCACACCAACAGACCTACTGTCCTTACACAGGTCACGACCTCTTTTCTCAAGCAGGAAGAGGACAGCCAGAATGTGAAGACTGTTGTTGTTATCATCTGACTTTTGCAAAGAAGTTCATAAATTGGTTGTCTGTCCAATCAGTCATTTTGAGAATGTGAAATGGACCATAAATTAACAGGGCTACAAAACCTGGAGGCACAATCATAAAGTCAGCTTGAAGTGAAAAGATGGTTATAGTTGCCAAAAGTCACTTTATAACGGGATCATTTCTGTTATGTAGTACCTTTTGAGCTATGTAAATGTTCATTTAATTAAGAACTTGCATACAGGTATATACCACAAATATGCTCTGCTCAAGCTTAGGAACTTCATTTTATTATAAGTGAATGAACAGGATTGAACATAACAGAATGGAAATAAAGAGTAGAACTTAGTAATTGCATAGGGATTAGGTTGACCTAAGGTTATCAATAAAGTACTTTTTTTTATTAACACTTTTTGATAATACAATACAGATATCAGTAATTTTATCAAACAATATTACTGTAGACAAGCCAACTAATACTACAAACAAATGAATAAATGCATTTCATTTAAATCCTGGCTTTTGCTATTAGAAAATATTACTGATATTAATATTAGTAGCATACTATATACAAGACTAAGAGGGTGGAAAGTGAAAAGGCAAAAACGGCATCCGTTCAATATACTAAGACTAACACATACTGTATTATATAAACAAATATACTGCATAACAAAAATGATCCACCAAACATTTGTTTACATAATGTTCATTTATAACTCTGTGCTGAAAAAAAAAGCATCATCAACCAAATAGCATGACAAATACCTTGAAAACCTCTGAGAAGAAACCTGAGCCGATCTTCTCGCAGATAAAGTCATCTATTCGCGCCAGGCTGGACACGGCGCTGCGCAGCGCCCGGTAAGAGGACGGCCTGGCCCGGTGCGCTCCGTGAATCCCGTGCATTAGAGAATCTGAAGCCTCCGGGTCCAAGTCATCTTGGTCCATAACGAAGGTCCCGAATGACATTCTGTCGCGCACTCTAAATTCTACCACGAGCGTTTACATATCTCTGACGGTCACGCAACACTCCAGTTTCGAGGTCACTGTAATTTTTGCCAATAAAAAGTGGCCCGCCTTTCGATCAAGTTTAGAAGAGCTACACGCAAATCCCCGTTGCGCGTCCGGCGCGTGACCGATCTTCAGGTCTAGTGCGTCGCTTCCTCCATACTGATGTCTGGCCTCATTTTCAGTAATGCATCACATTCCTGTGTCAGATAAGAAATGAGAATCAATGTCAACGACAGATATATTTATATCATCTGATCACTGTCTGCTTAAAGTGTGTTGCAAGAGCAAGTCTTGCGGTCAGTATGTTTGGTGAAGTTGAACTAGTGTAAATGATAGTGTAGGCTACATCTTCCGCTAAAGTCGGACTGCGGATAATACATTTCACATAGAAAAGTGAGCCCATTCGCGCTGTCGCTACTAACCAAAAACTATATTTATACCGCTATTTAACATTTTAAAGTAACCTTACAATCAATATCATACATTTACCACCATGTCGTTTATGTGATTCAACTCAGCTTACCTGCGCTGCTCTACAGGTATAAACTTATCGAGTCTTCGCTTCACCGCCTTCCAGTTTTCAGTCTTTTGTAAATATCCTAAAATTCTCAGATGCGACTGCTCAACTCCCCTCGTGTTTCATTTTGAAAGCGACTAAACGGAGAGCCCCTACTGGCATTTGTGTATGTAACGTTAAGTCGCAGGAAATGTGTGCAGAGTGACTTTGAGCTCTTATTGGAAGCGACTCACCTGGGCGGGTCCAGCAGCAGCAGCGGCGGCAGATCACCTGCAGGGGCGCGCGCACGCCAAGCTACTGTAGTGATGTGAATGAAACGGGGTACCACCACGCCCCCCACACTTTTAGCCCACTTGCCTGTTTTGTATAACTGTAAGTCGCAGGAAAACCTCTGTAGGCTAGCAATAAAAGCAATATATTTTTTTTTATTTAGGCAGTAATTCGCTAGTTTTAGAACTCAAAAAAGTGTGCGAATTACACAATATTATTATTTTTAATCATTTTTAAACGACTGCATTATTAAATGAATCGAGCTCAGTCAGTCGAGAATCTTTGTCAATGCCAATTTGCCATTAACACAATTAGCCATAAGCGTCAATAACAATTAAGGTCTTATTATATAGGCCTATTTGTGATATGCAAATGTAATAAATTGATACGACAGTAGGATTATTATTTAATTAAGTCAATGCACTATTTACAAGTACAGTTGGTGAATATATTTTATAGCCTATTATTTCTGATCGTGGTTTGAGAAACTTTATACGAAGACAACAACATGCTATCAAATCTATGATGTATGAATTATTGAGCAACACTACCGTCAGTGTTGACTTATTTATGAACTTAAAAGTGCTTTAGTTTTGACGACAGCATTGGACACCCTTCAGTTCTTTTAAGTTTATTACATGTGTGACGTCACTTAAATATATATATATATCATTCACGAAATATATAATAAAAATCAATTTAAAAAACGTTTACGACTTTGTTTTAGTCACCCTTGAATTTCAGTGCAAGAGCACATCTTACGGTAAATAAAGCACACATCTGGCCTCTTGAATAAATGAGTCGTGCTTGAGCGCACAGAGCTTATTAAATTGCTCTTCTTGCTGTATAGAATTGTTATTGCATGCAGCAGAACATGGAGTGTGTATCGTGTGCTCACTATGGTGCTCACGTGTATACCATGTAGAAATAGCTCATTTATTCTATACTGCTGCCATCTAGTGGAGACTAATCAGAAAATAATGTGCCAAAAGTTAAGATTAACCTGATCCAATACGAGGGCTGAAGTTTACTGTAGAAGAGGGGTCCACACTTTTTAAATCATGCATTCATACTTAAAATATGAAAACATTAGGAATTATTGTTGCAATTAGCCATCACCACAACTTAATAATATATGTATTAATGTAATAATGTATTTACAATGTACGTAAACCTGTTTAAATAAATGAAAGATATTTCATGGATAAAGTTCAGATTTTTTATTATGCCAGGGAATAATTGAAAAGGTATGATTACTTACAGGTCATCATCGGATCATTACACTTTGACATGCATAAAATAATTTTCTACAAAAATGAAGAACAACAGTCTGTAATCAAAATCTTTAAGCAAAAGCATATACATCTTTTTTTATTCAGATTCATGATTATATATTTTTTTAAATCATCTTCATCTAGGACCTCTTATTTGGGTGTAATTTATTCATTGTAACTGACAGGTGAGATGATCAGTGATGCTGAATGTTTACCTTTATCATTAGTCCAAGGGCTTAAATATGGATAGAGTTTCTCAGTAAAAGACTGATCGGTGAAAGAGTAGATATGAGACCTGGACTCCACATCATAAAAGGAGACCAGACCCTCTTCATAATCCACAAATACACCCACCTTCTGGGGCTTCACTTTCAAAGAGAGAGACACAGGGGAAGACTCACCAGCTTTATACATCTTCCCATTACTTTGCCACAAACTCCAATTTCCATTCTCAGGACACGGGTACAGATCCCTCTTCCTGTTAATGGATTGTCTTGCCACACCTAAACACCACTGTGTTATTCCCTGTACCTGCACCTCAAAATAAAACCTCCCAGAGGAAAAACCCTCCTTTCCCAGCACAATACATTTATCAAACCTCTTGTAATTGTGTGGGTAGTCATGCTTTATGTTTCCAAGTCGCACTTGCTTTCCATCTTCAGATAGAGTCAGTTCAGGGTGTGCTTTATTAGGATCCAGAGTCACATCCACTGAGAGAGGGAGAGAGAATTTGAATCACAGCTTCATAACAGAAAGATTGTGGAATAACAAGTTCAACTGGAAAACTGTAAATCCCTTATCAGTTAATTTAAGGTACTATGAGAATATATATGAGTGAGTATCATACACTGTACCTGCATACCGCTGGATCCTCTTCATCACTGTGACACACATGATAACAAAAGATAATGAGATCTTTATTTACATATAGACATTTATGAATTGAATTCTTGTTTAAATGCTATAGGGCAAATAATACACTGCAGACTGATGCATGTGATTAAATGCAAATGCTTATTTAAGAATAAAACATCTTTGAAAGAATGCAATGACCTTACATTAGCAACCTGGCCTTTTTGCAAAAGTTTGATCATTCTGTAATTGCTGATGAATTGAGATAAGACAATTATTGTGGAATGAAAATCTGCCTACCTACCAGTTTGACTGAGTTTCTTAACTAGAGTGTCCTGCAGCTGAGCCAGAGCACTCCTCAAAGTCTCCACACTCCCGCAAGTGTTAATACTGATCCCAGTCCAGATCTTGGTGTCTAACGGGCTGCACAGGGATGGATAAATCTACAGCGGGAGAGAAGCATGTTGAGTGTTGTCCTGTGATGTGCTGCGAGCAGAGAGACCGACACTGACCTGTAGGAGGTGCAGGTGATCTTCAGTGTGTGAGAGCTGCTCCAGCTCAGTGTTTCTTCTCTTCAGCTCCATGATCTCCTGCTCCAGCTCTTTAATGAGCTCTTCAGCCTGCTTCTCTTCTGCTTTCTGCTTCTGCTCCATCACCTCCAGCAGCTCAGACTGACAGCTCTCAATGGAGCGGATCAGATCCGTGAACAGCTCAACACAGTCCGCTTTCTCTTTTTCAGTGTTCTTCTGATTAGTCAGAATCATGGGAAAAAATTCTTTATTTTTCAGAACTTTTTAAAAATGTATCTAACAAATCAAATATTTCATTTTCTATAAATATTATAATAAATTATACATATAATATATACTGTATATATGAACATAAACTTGCTTTTCTCAGCTTTATTGAGTGTTGGATATCTTTAGTTTTCTTTATTCTGTCTTGGATCATTTGCAGCCCATCTGTCTGTGACTTCATCAGCAGAGTCTATAGACAGAACAACAGCAACAAAAAAATAATAATAATAACAATGATGATGACAATAATAATAGTGCCTTAAAAGCAAGATTCTCAAGGCAGAAAACAAGAACATAAAAACAGTAAATAATCATGCATAAAATAATAAAGTAAAATCAATTAAAATTTATCCTGAAAAATCTGTTCTTCTCTTTTTGAGTATTCTAAAGACATGTTTTCATTTATCTATTTCATACCTTCTTCTTTACACTCTCCTCCTCTACAGGGACGTTGTTGTGAGTCTTGTGTTCGGTCACAGTGCAGATCACACACACACACATGTCTGATCATCTCTACAGAACAGCTCAAGAGGTCTGTCATGTTTCTGACACAAATGATCCTGGAGATTTTTTACAGGGTCGATAAGTTTGTGTTGTTTTAAACCTGGAATCCTCAAATGACGCTTCAGGTGAGTCTCACAGTAAGAGCTCTGACACACAGGGCACGACTTCAGAGCTTTCAGTTTCGTCTTCGTACAGATGTCACACAACACTTCGGGTATTTTCAGACGATTTCTCTTTTTATAGAGATCTACAATGGCTCGGAGTGTTGTATTGACCTTGAGCTCAGGTTTTTGGTTGAATGTTTTTTTACATATTGGGCAGTTGTAGTCCTTACTGTTGTCCCAGCATTCTTTTAGGCAGATCTGGCAGAAGTTGTGTCCACATGGAGTGGTGACTGGATTGGTGAACACATCCAGACAGAAGGAACACTGGAGCTCCTCAGTCAGACCAGTGGAGGATGACGGGGCTGAAAGAAAAAAAGATATTTAAGAAAGTATGAAGTGTATTACGTAATATTGTAAAAATATTACGTCTCTCAAGCACTAATCCATTATTTTTGTGGGTTAGACTTACATGGAGATAAATCCAGATTCCTGGTCTCTCTTGGTTTTGGAGATTCTGCCAGTGCTTTTGCCCTTTTTAAGATTTAAATAAATAAAGCCACAGTAAGCGTTATTTCACAACAAAAATCATGACCAGTAGATTCATAGAGTAAAACAACAACTCGTACATATTAATATATATTTTTTTAATCACATTTTCAAAAACTTTAAAGTAAAAATAATTTATCTTCATATAATAAAAATCAAGTAATATATTTTTTCATCTCATGTTAGCTATAACAGGGGTAACATTTTTGTTTTATTTTTGATGGTGAAATATTCTTGGAGAAACAGTGACAGGAATTAAAACAATTTAAACTACACTAGCGGTCAAAAGTTTGGAACAATTAAGTTTTTGTTTTGTTATGGTCACCAAGGCAAGGCTGCATTTATTTGAACAAATCTACAGGAAAAACTTTAATATTGTGAAATATTATGACCATTTTAAATAACTTTTTCTATTTTAATATATTTTAAAATGAAAATTATTCCTGTGATGGCAAAACTACATTTTCAGCGGTTACTCCAATTACTCCAGTCTTCAGTGTCATTTGATCCTTCAAAAAATCTCTCTAATATGCAGATTTTTTGCTCAACAATTAGTAATGGTTATTATTATGTGTGTAACGGTTATGTTCTGTTTTATTGTCATAGTGTTTTGGTGTCCCTGTGTTCCTTTCTTCTGTTCATTGTAGTTTTCGATGGTTTAACATGGTTGTGTTCTCCTGAGTTTGTCCCTGGATGTATTATTAAAGACTGTTTATTTCTCTGAATCTCCTGTGTCGTGCACATCATTACAGCCACCTCCGGTAGCAGTATTAACATTAAGTGGTATCACTGGCATGGCATCTTACAAACAAAAGCCATTGGCACATGCTGGTTTCAGAACGTGCAAGCGAATAGAATACATGCGCCCAGACATACTGAACAAGACCATAACATGCCTCTATATTTCTTTCACGTACCTGTGTGTGTCAGCTGCGCTCTCATGTCTCTTACGTATGTATGGATGAACAAACATTCTGTTGTCTAAAGAAAAAAACGTTTCCAAAAGGTTTAAAAAAATTTCGGCTTAGTTTCATTTCACTGAAACCTCCCGCCCACCTATATTAATCCCATAGCTCCTCCCATATTTTCTTACTCACAACAGATGAAGTTTTACAGCTTTATTGGCTGTTTGATACACGTGTTCATAAGGGTTTTAAAATAGGTCATGAAGAAGAGGCAAGCAAAACGTTGATACAACATGTTGTTGGGAACATTTGTTAAGACAAAGGCCTGTGATAAACATCTGGAAGATATATTTTTAAGACATACCAGATGACTATTACAGAAAGAATAGTACAGATAATACTTGTGAAGCCCTTTAGACACCAGTTATGACAAATAAAAAGCAAAAACATTCTCATGTAGTGTCATTGCATTTGTGCCATTTATATATTTTCTATGAGAGAGAGAGAGAAAAAAAACTACAATATTATGCATAACTAATGTATGATTTTTTTTCACATGCAATAAAAGTATGCTGTATCACCAACTATGAAGTCAATAGTATAAAAGTATGTCTATAAACTGCCTTTTTAATTAGCTGCTAGTCATCACGCATATTACAAGGAAGAAGCATTTTTAAAAAAATAAATTAGACAGTTGAGACAGTTTTTTGTATTGTACAAGAATGGGATCAAAGTATTAACCTGGATTTTTCCTTAATTTTCTCACCCCATTGTGTCCCATATTGGCCCGAGTGTTGCATCTGCGCCTGTGTACAAAACCTCCTCATTTATAAATGGACCGTATCATACCTGTGAATGACCATATCACAGCTGAATCACGCCGTGTTTGATCGTTCACCAGAGGAGAACTGGCCCCCCGACTGAGCCTGGTTTCTCCCAAAGTTGTTCTCCTCAATCCTGTCACCTGATGAAATTACAACGGAACTGAATCAACACTGAACTGACTTCAGCTGAAGAGCACCCGAAATGCATAATTTCCTGTTATCACTGTAAAACTGCTTTGTAACAATCTGTATTGTATAAAGCGTTTTATAATTAACGGTGACTTGACCATAAGTGTGGTGACTCCATAAGTATTGTGATTGATACACGAGATGAATAAGGTCAAAGTTCAGCGTCTACAGGGATGAAATGCTAGGGGTGTGGCATGTGTACTGTACGCTGCTCTTTTCATCTGTTGCTGGATGATCTCTGCTCTTCCCACAATGGCTTTGACAATTGGAGAGCGTGTGCAGCACTGCCTCCTGGTCCTCGTGCCTAGGCTGTTCTTGGCTCTCTTTAGGCTGGTCTCACCCGGCTCAAAGCGACCAAAACATCTCCCTCCTATCAGAAACCCACTGCTTACTTTCTCTGCAGTGCAACTAGCTGAGAAGATACGCAGAAGAGAGGTTTGGGCTTTCATTTGCATTAGTTCTGTCATGGCTGAGCATTAGCGAATGTATAGGCTACTTGTGAACTTAATGAATGAAAAGAAGGCTAATCAATATAATCAATTATTTTATCGTAAGGTTTCTTGCTGTTTTTTTTTTCACGAATAAATCTGTTTCTATTACGCCAGGCAACCATGTCTGTAGTGAGCACTAAAAGAATGACAGCTCAGCACCAAACTTAAATGTAACTTGTTGCTGTAACAGTGTCTCTGCTGGTTTAAATCAGGCATTCTTTATTGCATATTGCATACACTAGACTTGTAGTCAAGACCGCCTAAACCGAGACCAAGACACTACCAAGACCAGAGGGTATCGAGACCAAGACAAGACCAAGACAGACCAAGTCGAGACCAAGACCGAGACCGAGACCAAGTCGAGACCGGAGGGGGGAAAAAACAGACTTGTTGAAGCTATCAATAACTTGTAAGATTTTGTTTTGCATTGCCTGCCTATCTCTGCCGATTTCGAAGTCTCCAAATGAATCCATTCTGCAACTTTTAAATACATAATTATATTTTTAAAAACGAAATTATAAGCTAAAGTCCAGGATCCGAAAGTTGGTTGTTTTGTCGCTATGGTTACACACACACACACACACACCGTTGGCGGTGCGCTCATCTGTCAGTTGTGCAGTTACCCAAAATCTCCTGAATGAAGTTAAAACCCATCATGTCACTGATATGTGTTTTACTAAATATTAATACATCAAAAACTGTACATGATATGCGTTTTTTAAATCAAGTGATCAAAGTGGTCGTTGCCGCTGCGATCTGTGGCGCGGAGACGGCTCGCGCACCGCACTGTCTTCACTCGGACGCGCGCTTCAATCCGTTGCGGATATCGTCGTGGATATTGATATTGCTAAATCCCCCGACCACTATGTCGGTCTGAGACAACGAGACCTAGACAAGACCGAGAGGTCCGAGACCAAGACAAGACCAAGACCAAAGACCGTCTAGGCCGTGACCACGTAAAAGTCTCGAGACATACATCACTACTATAGACTGTCACTGTAATCTTGAGTTATCTTGTTGACTTTATCATGGATGTTCTGGCACAATAAATCTAGACCGTGGCTCACGTCACTTCCCTGACCTTTAGGCACTGCAAAGTATGATAAACAATGTTTACAGGATCCTCTGATAATGTCTGTAAGTGATTGTACGCAAGTAATATAAGTCCTAAAACAACATCACTTCACTTACATATTCACCACTGTAGATAGAGCTAGACTAAAACAACCACTGCTTGCCATGGTCTTTTGTAATACTGAATATTAACCTTTTTGATTTGTAAATTCAGGTTACTAGTGTAGAGGTTGTGCAGGCCTACATTGACAGGATACAGGAAGTAAACCCACTGCTCAATGCTTTGGTCAAAGACAGGTGAGCACTCACTTTATAGAGGTAGTAACAACAGATACGGATGACTGAACAGGAAATTTCACTATAAATGTCCACTATCCTGTCTTTCAGGTTCTCATCCGCCCTTCAGGAAGCCGCTCATGCAGATAAACTAATAGAGGAGGAGAATGAAGGAGAGGAATTTCTGAGGAACCGATTTCCACTGCTGGGTGTTCCACTGTCTGTCAAAGAGTCATTCGCACTACAGGGTACACTTCCCAGAATCCTCTTTGCCTTGCATCCATCCACACAGCATCACCCTGACTAAGTTTATTTTGAGATAATGTCTATTTGACTGTAATTCTCGCTATTTAAACAGCTATTTGCCAGCAAATATAACGTGGACATAAAATACTTACACTTTATTTTGATAGTCCACTTTAGACATTCTACTAACTCCAGTTAGGGTTAGTAGAATAGGTTGACATGCATAGTTACTTATAGTCAGTCACTAGAACATCTGTTGGGGCCATCAAAATAAAGTTACTTATAGTTAGAAGAATGTCTAAAGTGGACCATCAAAATAACGCATTACCAGATATTGATTTGAATTGTTACAATCCTACTTGTATATTCTCTTAAAGCTTCTGCTAAGAAAATAGTCCATTCATTGCAATGTACAAATCAATGGACCTATCAACGACTAACCGATTGTAGGCTACTGAAAATCACTTTGGAATGGACAATGTACTGTTTTGGACTAGTACTATTTGTTTTCTAAGTGCAAGCTTCAAGATTGGTAAAATTATAAAACAAATGTCAACTAAAATCAATATCTTTACAATATCAATATCAAATATGTCAACATATATATATAAATATTGCAAAAATATGCAGATTAGAACTCTGAAGAGAATATTGCTTCAGAATAAATTATATTTACACTTTTTTTGTGTGCATTTTAATATTTTTTTACGGACAAGTGAATGACCGAGCACATGACAAGGCTTGATGTCGAGCCCTGCTGTATAGGATAGTAGAAATGATTAATTTTTATGTTATCTGCTCCCACAGGTATGCCCAATTCTGGCGGGTTGAAATCCCGGGGTAGAGTACTTGCCAGTGTGGATGCTCCTCCTGTGGCTCTGTTGAAGAGAGCTGGAGCCATTCCTCTAGGGGTCACAAACACCAGTGAGCTTTGCATGTGGATGGAGTCCAACAACCACCTCTATGGGATCACCAGTAACCCCTATGACCTCGAGAGGATGTGTGGAGGAAGCTCAGGTCTTGCAATAAAAAATAATTTAAAAAAAGGAATATTTTTTATAAAACTTATATAAATATTAAACTCATTAAGACTATACAAAAATGATACTTCATTGGTCATGGTTTCAATTCCATGTTTTTTGTACTGATGTTCAGCTTAACATAACATTAAAAAGTTGATAATTAGCCATAAACTATTAAAGGAGTCATAACCTAGTATTACCTTGGATACCCACGCTCTATTATAGTCTTTCAGGCCCTTCTAAAAAAGAAAAGTGGAAAAAAAATAAACACAGAGCTCCTCTGACCCTTATTTCTGAATGCATTATTGTCTCGCTAGATCTGATGCGATATTTTGGCTGTCGTGGACGGTTCTGCATTTTTCTTGACTGAATATGAGGGGGAGAGGGGCAGGGCGGGCTTCCTGTAGCATATGTCTGCGGTGTCCATATATGGTATATCCTGCCCCGACTTGACGTCAAGTCGGGGGAGAAATTAAAATCTCGTATTTGAGTGCGCGTGCACGTGGGCTGGTTTACGAACCCTGGGGTAAACAAACGCTTCACTTTTGAATATCGGCTTCCCGGCCAATGTATAATCGTTAGGCAATCATAACATACATTGATTCTCGTGGAAAAGTGAAAATTACAGGTTATGACTCCTTTAAACATCGATTCTATCTTGGTAGGTGGAGAGGGAAGTATCATCGGTGGTGGTGCATCTGTGATAGGTATCGGTTCTGACATTGGAGGAAGTATCCGCATGCCGTGTTTTTTCAATGGGATATTTGGCCACAAACCTTCAAAAGGTATCAATTTTGCCGTAAGGACAATCAGAAAAACATCTTTCTGTTAATAGGGAAAATAGGGTGTATCTTATCATAAAGGGAGAGTTTTATTTAATTTCAGATGTGGTTTTAAATGACGATCAGTTTCCCACATGTTCTGGTCTCGAAAATGACTACCAGAGTTCTGGTCCAATGTGTCGCTACGCTGAAGACCTGCTACCTCTTCTGAAGATAATGGCTGGGCCCACTGCAGACAAGTACATCTCACATACATATAAACCAGAGAATGCAAATATCAGTTTTTTTTTTTTTTTTTTTTTTTTACAAATTAGTACTAACACCAAGTATTATTTTCTAGGCTCTTCCTCTCAAAAGAGGTGGATCTGAAAAAGTTAAGTTTCTTCACTGTAGTAGATGATGGTGGATCTCCATTGACATCTCCAGTAGACAAACAGCTCATTGAAGCTCAAAAGAGGGTGAGAAGCAAACTGTAAGTGCAGAAAATGTTTGTCTTTTATTTTGTATTTTTGCCTGTACGTTTCCAGGTGGTTTGGTCACATGGGTATCGGTGGGTATATACCTGGTAGTATTTCCTGTTTGGTTTATTGTGTAGAGAGGGGGTGAGTAGTGGGGAGTGCTCACTTTCTGTTGATCGTTTATACGTATCTTTATCATGTTTTACGTGGATAGTCTGTTATCATGCCAATAAAATGTTATTGGTTATTCAATGAAAGAAAACGCGTCACGGATATTTCCTGCTGCTTAGCCTCTCAGCGGCTATAGGTTGCCGCTACACAAACCAAAGCAGCTACTACATTATTTGCATTTAACATACTGGTATACACACATATACAATACTTCTGTAATCAGCTGTATTGGTGAATATATGCAGTATACTAATATGAGCCTTATTTGACAAATGTTGTTTCTGTTCGCAGGTGGCTGCACGTTTAGAGGCGGATCTGGGAGTTACAGTTAAAGAAGTTAGTTTTCCTCAGCTCAAAAACTCTTTTCAGATTTGGGAAACATTCTTGGCTCTACCTGACAAAGATGGCAAGGTGTGTAGTACCATAAGTTACTTAATATTCAGAATTTGTTTCATGATTGGCAATTTTTTGCAAGATCGACTGTTATTGAACTGAACTGAATCAACATTGAACTGACTTGAGAGCTGCTTATAGCTGAATTGAACTCATTTTTATAATTGATGAACTTTACACAGTGAACTGAACCAATATTGAACTCACTTTTTTTTTAGAGCTACTTTACAGCAGAATTTAAATTTGTCCCTAAAATAATAGTTGACTTGAGTACTTCATGAAAGACTGAGTTGCTTTAAGTCTATATTGTTTACTTGCTTTCAACAAATGACTGTAGCAACCACAAAAAACATGGTACATGCAGAGAATTAGAGCAAGTTTGAGTGCGTGTTTGTGTTTACTCCAGCCTCCACAGTCTTTTGTTGAGCTAATGGCAGATGGAGGCTCCGTGTGGCCTATTTGGGAGCTAATAAAGAGGACATTTGGAAGATCTGAACACACTGTGGCTGCTATTGGTAAACTCTAACACTGATCTAAATACTGTATAGTAATTTTTGGCAAAGAGTCACGTTTTAACTGTGGTTGTTCAGGGTTGAATACTTGGGGCTTGTTCTGATCTTGTTCTTCAAACTAGCAACTGGGAGGAGACATGTATTTCCCTTGTGGCTGATTTCAGGTTTGGCTCTAATGGAGAGTTCCCACAGCTTTAAGCCATCTCAGTTCATGCTAAAGCAGAAGGAAGAACTACAAAGAGAGATGGAGGATCTGCTGGGGACAGATGGAGTGCTGCTCTACCCCTCTCATCCTCTTCTCGCCCCCAAACACCACCACCCCCTATTTACCCCATACAATATCGGTTACACAGGTACCAGTTGCTTAACTAACAAAGAATTTAAGAGGGAGGTATGAGCAACAATCTCAAACACAATCCTTTACTAATGTAATTTAGCTGATAATAGTATTATTAGCAGTACAGATCTTTACCACTAAACCAGTCAGTCTCAATCATTAGAACCATATATTTTTGTGCCTTTATCATGTATTATTAAACGCACAATGTCCACTTTTGGAAATTTGAAGCTATTGATCTGGGCCATAGCTTTGGAGCCCATTAATTAACAATAACCTTATATGTGTCTATTATGATCAAGAAGTGGATTACAAAAAGTTACTAAAGAAATTAAAGCCATTATTAGTCGGAGGGGTCAGACAGGAACAGACTTCCAATATTGAGTTTATCATTGCAGCAAGGCTAATCAATAACATTAGGAGAGTCAAATAGAAGTAGATGGAAATCCTTTAAATATACAGCAAAGAATATATATTAATATAATTGGAACCGCTTTCACCTATTTCTAGGGATCCTGAACATCCTCGGCCTGCCGGTGACCCAGTGTCCACTGGGATTGAGTAAGGAGCGATTGCCCTTGGGCGTGCAGGTGGTGGCTGGGAAGTTTCAAGACCGTCTGCCCTTGGCTGTGGCGCTCTACCTGGAGAAGACCTTCGGAGGCTGGGTCGATCCTGGAGTGGCTTGAGCAGTGAAGACACTGGAGGAAATGCTGAATCTAGGCATGACATAGCAAAGCAAGTTTCTCAGAAATAGACAACCTCAACAAACATTGATCTAAAGGGATAGTTGACCCAAAAATGAAATTTCCAATCATTTACTTGCCCTCATGTTGTTCCAAACTCATAGGACTTTCTATCTCCTGTGAAACACAAAAGAAAATATTTTGAAGAACATTGGAAACCAAACAGTTTTGGTGCCCACTGCCCATTTGGACAATGGACAAAAACACCGAAACATTTATCAAATGATCTTCTTTCTTCCACAGAAGAAAGTCATACAGGTTTGTAACATGAGGGTGAATAAAATTACAGAATTTTCATTTTGGGGTGAACTGTGCCTTTAAGATAAATCAGTGGTTAGAAAGCTAAGGTTTTTTTTAGTAAGTAAGCGTAATCATTTAAGCAGCATATCTTAAGAGAATGCTTTAGGGATTTTCTAAATAGTTATTTTGGGCCCTACCTGATTTCAGTCAAATGAAAAGTATACCATGTAACTGTTGAGCTGAATGTTGTCTTTAAGGAATCAAGAGTACTCAAAAGCAGAACACATTTTCACTTGATTCAAATAATACATAGCTGTTATTGCAAACAGAATGTAATATAAAATTATCCAAATACCTTTAAGTTAAAGATATTGACTTTTTAAACCATTTGTAAAATATGGGTGAAAATACCCTTAAATTCAAACTTGCGGTTGAAACATTCACCTGGAGTCATTGTTCCACTTCAGAAACGTCACACTGTACCAAAGGTTTCTTATTTCAGCATTGTCACACGTTATTAAAATCACATAAACGGATACAGTGTAAAAATAACAGACTGGCAACCAACATTATTTACACCAAGGCTTCAGCAAATGACTCATTCAAATCTGGACACGTTTTCATTTATTTCTTCCTTAAAAAAAAATAAAAAAAACGTTTTTGAGAAGTACTGAACAGAAAACCTGTTTTACACTTTTTTTTTTTATTGTTTTCATTTTTTTCTTTTCTATCCAAGGAGGAACTTGAAGGAACATTTTTAAACATTCTCAGTGTGAAAACACATGGACAGATTCTTTTGTTTCATTGGTGGGACACTGTAATAGCATGTTTGTGCCCTTTTAAGATCTCTTAATAATGTGTCAATCAAAAACAGGTTAAGACACAAACTAACCAGCCCGCTTCAATTTCGCATCATTTCCCTCGACACTATGAAAACTGAAATGGGCCTAAAAACAAGAGACGATACAAACATTAACAAAAAGATAAAGAAAACAGCTGTTTTGTAAGAGGGTCCCTGTCTTTGGCAACGCAGGAACAGAGATAGGACATGAGGTCAACCAAACAGGAAGTCCTTTGCAACTGTCTGAAACCAGCATCCAGAGATTCACTAGCGCATATTCCCAATTCCTCAGATTTTGGCCCGTAAATATGTACATTCCAGCGCATGTACACGATATTTGTGTTTTAAAGCACTCCTCAGGTGACATCGAAGAGGGGTGTGTGAATGTATACATATGTGTCTATGTAAACGCCCTGTTTGTTAACCCAGACCTCCTCAGGAGACGTTGGTTATGGGCTTGTATTTCTTGAGGCGGGTCCATTGTCCAGTAGAGTAGTTCATCTCAAACACTGTGTCCACCAGCATGGTGGTGCTGCCGGTTCCGTCCGCTTTAGGCAGAACTTCTGTGTGCTCACTCAGTTTGATCTGAATGATGTCACCCTGCTCTGGACAGGGGTTTTCTGTCGGGAGGATGCGACAGACGAAAAATTAGGAGGGTCATTTAGAACAAAGAACAACTGTAATATTTTCAATTGATTAACAGAAACCGATGAAAGCAAATCCAGAATACCTCGTGATCCTGCCATGAAGCCCAGGATGAGGGCTTTTTCAGGCCGTGTAACTTTGTTTGCAGTCTTGAACATTTCCTGCGCAGCGTACATCTGTTCTCTCTGTGGACGATGCAAAATAAAAATTAAACTTCACAGACTATATACTACCATTCAAAAGTTTGGGGCCAGTAAGGTTTTAAAAAAAAAAAAAGAAATTAATACTTAATCAGCAAGGATGCATTAAATTTATCAGTGGCAGTAAAGATTTTTATAAGCTTACAAATTCCATTAAAAAAATATGCTGGAATATATTACATTTTAAAATCTCTTTAAATAGAAACCAGTAATTTTAAATAGTATTTCACAATATTACTGAATTACTGTATTTTTGACCAAAGAAATGCAGCCTTGGTGAGCACAAAATACTTTAACAATTAATCTTCTAACAACATTGAGGGAGTTTGGATGAAAGAATTCAGTACGAAAACTAACAGCACTACACACAAGCACACAGAGTCGGAGCTTTTGTTGGAGGCAACGTGGAACATCAATGGCTAATCATTTTCATATTTTTTAAGCTGAAATTGAACATAATCGGAGAAGAGTTTGACTATTCATTCATTACATTATATCTAGGGGAAATACCAGAAACTGTTTTAAACATGGATAAATACTTATTAAAGATACTTTTAGCGAGCAGAAGGAAAGCTATAACACGTAAATGGTTGCAGGTAGACCCTCCAACAACGGACCAATGGCTAGGAATTGTAAATGAAATATTGTAAGGAGAGAATCACATTCATTTAAAGGTTCAATTTAGAAAAGTATAATAAGTATTAGGAAAAATGTATTATGTACATACGCCATTAATTAAAAGTGTGATATCGCACATTAAGATGTTGGAAATGTACTGTGACTTGACATGTGTTACCCATGATAACCTCTTTTTCACCATTTTCACTTAACAAAAAATTCTAAATAAAACTGTTGCTTAGTAACATTAGAAAAAAGACAGTCGAGTAAAATCATTATCATATCCATGAATTCTTACCGTGAGCGACAGGTTCTTTTTGGGTTGGGTCTGTGGGGGCGCTGGCGTGGGTGCGGGCTGGGCTGCAGTGGTGGGCGGCTGCGTGGGCATGTCTTGCTGTGCTGCTGTGGCGGCAGGAGGCGGGGCATTGTTGGTGGGCGTGCTGGTTGGCGTGGTTGGTGAAGTGGGGGCGGTGGGACTGGCAGTGCTGGCATTATACATGGGCGGCCGTTGTTTAAACTGGCCAGGTAGTGAAGCAGAAGCCGCATTTGGCGCGGACGACTCCTCCGACTGCCGGTTTGTAGGTTCACGCCCTGAACCGCCTGCATTCGCTGAATATTAACACAATGCAGAAAAATGGGCATTGAGAAGACTTTAAGCTCACATTTAGCTTGGCTTCCTGTTAATATCTGTTGTGTGTAATCAATAGATTTTCTACTGCAGTTAATTTCTATGCATCGATCCCATCCTGCATCTGTCGATGGCTCACCTGGCTGTGTCTCTGAACTGGGAATGTAAGACGAGGAAGGAACCATGCTGGGGGTGGCGGGAAGGTAACTGGTTGATGGCAGAGCACTCTCGTTGTTTAGCGCCCCAAGTTTCTGTTGTGAGGAGAGGGGAAACAGATTTGAGTTTTGTTCTGACCCACATTCAAGGAAGCCATCACATGGCTGATAACATTTCCAAAACTACCTGTGTGGACACCAAGCCAGCTGCGTAGTCTGGTGTTGCGTTCTCCACAACCGCCTCTTCTTTGGCTGCCTTCTCTCCAGCTTCTGTGTCTAAATAAGACCAAAATACAATATAACAAAAATGCAGAGCACTCAAAATACACTCAAAATAATTCTTGAACTTACCCAAAGTCTTTCTTCTCCTTTTAGCTTCTCTGCCAGCTCCTACCATATCCAACTCGGATATATCCAACAACTGCAAGAAAACACACAATCACATAACCTGACAACATAAAGCCTATACAGAGATTATGAGATCCATACGAACTAGGCAAAATACAGTTCATGACTGTAAGCTTTTATTTTGTTCATTTTGCTTTTAAGCTTTTAATCAAGAGTAAACCTACTAGAAATGCCCATGTTATAGAGTGACTTCATCAAGCTGCTGCCTTGGCTTTTGGCTTGCTTAGTTGGGGACATTTAATATTCAACAATATTATTGATCTGCCTTACTTAAGGTGGACGTTGATGCAATTTTCTTCTAAAAACAAACTTTGTTGTATTATTTTCATGTTATCACTGTGAAGCTGCTTTGATACAATCTGTATTGTAAAAAGCGCTATATAAATAAAGGTGACTTGACTTCATTACGGGTCATTGCTAGACAGTTACCTTGACCCCCCTTTCTTTGCGCAGGGGTGTGCGGGGAGGGGCAATAGGGGTTCTGTTACTGGGAGGGCTGAACATGCTTGGGGTGGTAGGGCTCCGGAATGGTGCTTTGGGAATTCCCTTCAGCGGTGCTGAGGAAAGACAAACAATCATTCATTATTAATCTTGTGTGCCGTTTTAAGATTTTTTTTTAATGTTTTTGATGCATCTCTAATGCTCACCAAGGCTGCATTTATTTGATAAAAAATACAATAAAAAAGTAATACTGTGAAATATTATTACAATTTAAAATACCTGTTGTATTTTAATATATTTCAAAACGTAATTTATTCCTGTGATGGTAAAGCTGAATTTTCAGTATAATTTAATTATAATTACTTAGTCTTCAGTGTCCCGTGATCCTTAAGAAATTATCCTAATATGCTGATTTGCTGCTCAAGAAACATTTCAATGCTGAAAACAGCGGTGATGCTTAATATTTTTGTGGAAACCGTGATACATTACACGGATAGATCCATGATACATCAGGATTCTTTGATGAATAGAAAAGTTCAGAATTTATTTGAAATAGAAATCGTAGTAACACAGGTCGAATTTATTAACAATAATTAATGCATTAACTAATATAAGCTAACAATGAGTGATATATTTTATAGTATTTATTAACCTTTGTTATAATGTTAGTTAATAAAATGTGCATGTTCATGTTAGTTCACAGTGCATTAACTAATGTTAACAGATACAACTTTTAATAATGTTGTAGTAAATGTAGAAATTAACTTGAACTAAGATTAATAAA